TGGTGCCCCCCATACAAACATTAGATGTTTATATTTTAAGGACCACCCTAGGGTGCATAAGGGTGTACATAAGTAGTTGCCTTGATTCACATCAACAAAAACAAGTAATAGAAAATAAATTGCCTGAAAAAAATTTACTAACTTCAATACCTAGTTTCCATAATAAAGTTGTCTTCAATTAAGTAAAGAAATAATATAGGAAAATGGCGCTTACCTCGCTTGTTTAAAAAGCGTGAAATTGCCTTCAACAGTTAGTGCAGAAAAATCCGGCAAAACGACAAAGCTGACAAACGATTGTTTTGATTCTGCAAATATTTGTTAAGCCAACAGGTGCATGTATATACATACATACACATTTATTTACACATTGCAATTTGTTATACGTGCATGGGCATGTACATATGTTAACTACATATGTAAGTATGCAAGTTCTACACACATAAGTATGTATGTATATTTTTTAAAAATAGTTCTAATTAATTATTTTGCGTTTTAATGTTTTTGTTCAGAATTAAGTTTGGTTAACTCAGTGTTCTTATTTTTTAACTTTATTGCATTTTGCAATCTTTTTTTACTATTGCCTCTCGAATTCCAAAAATTAGTCTCAGTCCACTTGCAAGCATTTTATTGCACACTTTGATGTGGCGCGGTGCGCGGTGATCAATGGCTTGTTCGCCTTTAATGACTGTTGCACAGCCAGTTTGCAAATTTTTGATGCACTTTAATTCTATAGCCTTTTAGTGCGACTTTTGGTGGCTGCCGTTTTTATAGCTTGTTACTCTTGAAATCGCCGTCACTTTGCTGCACAAAACCGACTTAAAAAAAAATCACATGTATGCATATGTTTGTATGTGCCTACATATATTCACGTTCCAAAAACATTCTAAGTATTTAATTCAATAGTTTTTCGCATAAAATGATGTGATTTTCTGTTGTTGTTTTTTTTTTTGCACCTGACTTTTCAGCTTAACCCAATTTCGCAATGAAAATTTTTAATTACATATTTTGCTTTGTTTTTAAATACATACATATCTATTCTCTTTTATCATTCACCTTTGTTATTTTAATTATTTCCGCAACATCGTCAAAATATTTGCTATTTGCAGCAATGTGCGTTCGATGGTGGCGTTCGATACGCTTCGTTTACATTGAAATCCACCACAGCTTTTGTTTGGTGTTTAATGTTGTTTCGGGTAAATATGTATGTACGATTATTTCACTGCTGCTTGCAACAGAACAGACACATCACAATTTGCTAAGCTGCTGTTTTCGTTGTTGTTGTTTTCGTTGTATTTGTCATGTATTACTCTTGTTATACATATGTATGTTTGTATGTATATATATATGCATGTACATGCTAAATAATGTAAATTTGTTATATTTTCCGCCAACCGAATTTCCACCTGCGATTGCGTTGAAATGTAACCGTCAACTGAACACTGAGCCAGAAAAGCGAATGAGCTGAGCTTGTGGCCTTAGCTTGTACCAACTTCAGCACCGACATCAACAGCGAAGCTGGAGCTGAGCTCGGGTTACATTGGGCGGCCCGAGCGGCAGCTATGTATGTACATACGCGTTGTCGCCAAACAGCATTTCTTCCACCACCAAATCGCTGGCGTGGATGGTATCACAAAAAATACTCTCCGACCATTGAGGTATTCTTCGTTTGACCATCTATAGTTCTCTTCGTTCTGCAGTTCACAATGTTGGTCACTTCCCATTTGGCTTTTCTCTACTCATATTATTCAAGCCGGCACAAAAAACAAAACGCATAGACATTCCTCATCAACGATGAGCTTTGAAGACATACCTCGTACTCGTGTCCGGTATGTATTCGTTTCCGCTTTAGCTTTTTTTAAAGTTATTTTTGGTCATTCATTGCACCTTAATACTCTTCTCGGAATTTATATCTTCTAAGCTTTTTCATTTCAAAACAGATTTTTGGGTGTCAAAGAGCTCAGGCGTTCGTCTCTCAACACATCGCGGCCAAATGTCGCATACCTAATTCTTGCATAGGCGGAGCAGAAGCACAAAAAATGTTCCACTGTCTCATCCCCTTCAAGACAGGATGGACAAATGGAGTTGTCATGTCACAGTCAGGTGTTTGTGCCACATGAAGTGAGCAGTCAGAAGTCCAACAACATGTAGACCACGTAGTCCATGGCCTTGAGGACTGCAAATACCTCAGCCTGCAAGACCGAAGCATACTCTCCAAGAGAAAGGCGAAGCTTATCCTATTAAATTCGATAAAGACGCCAGACCTTGAGCCAGAGTCAGTTTTGGGGCCATCAGACAATGTGTGAGTCCGGGCTCAGTGCTGGTATTAAACCAGCATTTAGCCTCAGGGAACTCAATATTATAGAACCTCTTTCAACACTTACAAAATATAATGTTGAAATTCGTTTTATTTGTCTTAAAAAAAAGTTCGGGCTACCTTTATTCCTTTTCATTATATTAGATTTTAACAAAGAAGAAGAAATTTAGCCCATAATGCGTCGGACTTCCATAGCTCAGCTGGCAGGAGCAGGTTTGTTTTTTTTTTTCTTCAGCCACGACTTTGCTTAGTCAGACGATGGGACATTGCTTTCGCCGACATCGACTGGGGTCACGACGTCATCTCCTTCCGTGCTCTCACTGCTTCTACCATTCAACAGGGTGGAAAATTAAGCCCTCTATGTACTGGACATCGTACACTAGGTCGCCGTAATTCGCCCAGGTGTAAGTCACATAACTTTCTGATAAAAAACGCCTCACATCCCTCTTCAGTTTCCTATATCGGTACTACATTTATTTCTCGCATTGCGCCCGATCAAATCGTCGCTACCATGTCAAAGTATCGAATGTGCGAAAATGCCTTGCCAATTACAATACTTTGCGCATGCGTTTAGAATGATACGCAAGTTGGCAAATCGTCCAGTTTCGAGTCTTCTTGGAAACAGAGGATATTGGCTCTAACAAACTATCGAATTCCACACCTTTTCCTAATGACAACAACATTTTTTAAAACAGTTTTTCGTTCTCCTGAAAAGTTCCCATTTTCGCATTCGATAGTTTGACATGATAGCGACGATATCTTGACCCCGTACGTATCTTTTTTTCCGTTTGTATATATGTATGTACATATCGGTTTTATAAGAGAGCAGGAGTGAAAGTCGATGTTGAGCTTTATTTGTATTTTTGGACGCACATTTTTAGAGAAGTGTGCGTATCTCGGCTGCAATTAGATGGTGGTCCGAGTCGATGTTCCCTTTTGATTGAAATCACCAAGTACCATAAGAAAGAGGTCTTTGGACACCACGCTCTGCTTTTCCATTGGAAAGGGTGCGTCCGCTGAGTTCAAATAATTATAGGCTCGAAAGTAGTGATCATATAAATTTTGGAGGTTTAATCAAAGTTTCCAGTTAAGAACGTTTTATATCTTCGAGAAAGTTTTCTAACCAAATACACTTGTTTTTACAGCAATTAGTTTTTAATTTATTAGTAGTGGTTGCCAAAGCTACAAATCTGCTTACCGCTAATTTGAGCCTCACTCAAGATTCTCGCATTATCTGTATAACCAGGGCTTCGGAGCGGAGAGGAGCAAAGTAGCAAGGTGCAAAGGATTTTAGCTGGAGCAAAGAGATAAAAGAATTCATCATGTGAAATAGCAACAAGGCATTAAATCCTTGTCCGTAAGGATGACAAATTCAATGCTTCCCGTAATAGCTTTCGAAGGAGCTGCAGAGTTGCATAAAACCTATACTCAATTATCGTTGGAATATGCTAGGTTCCGAAGAATTTGCGTCAGGTGTCTGGAATATCACATCGACAATAGGACATTTTCTATTTATACCATGGCCCAACTTTCGAAAGATTGGCCCCTAGGGCCAATGTCACAATGCGTAGTTAACTCAGAATCGGGAGTTAACTACAGAATTTTGTACTGAAAATCTCTAGTTAACTGTCGATTCTGAGTTAACTACGCACTGTGAAATTGGCCCCTAGGTGAGATTTCACGGGTCAGCTAGACTAACCTACAGGCGCATTAGTAAACCAAACTTTACTAAATATCGTCGGTTGGCGCGCAATACCTGGTATCCGCCAAACGCAATACCACGGATGATGTGGCATAGACATTTTTTTTTTCCTTTGTGCCTATTCCACAAATTTAATGGCATTTAAATAATTAAACTAGAAGCTCATATTTGGTAAATTCAATTAGAAATTCATTCAAATATTTTGACAAAATTACCGAGTACAAACTACAAGTTTTATATTTTTTTCACCTTTCCGAAAATACCGTTACATGGTAAGTAGGGGTGGTTTCGCCCCTATTTCAGACATCTTCGAAAGTAGTTAGACTTAATGAGATAAACTCCCATTTTCTAAATTTCATAATAATGTTAATTCTTTTCAGGGTATTGTTGTGAGTCCTTAAATTTCCAATTATATATCTAAGTTTCAGTATTTCTGAAACTTACCGATATATGAAATGTGGGAGTAATTTAGTCCGACTGATTTATGTAACAAGTACAATAATTGTGCCGAGTTTGGTAAAAATTGACGGAACGGTGCCACGGCCATTTTTCAAAAATTTGTTATACACGTTTTTTTTTGCTGCAGAATTATTGCAAACATTAATTTTGAATAAAGTCGCTTCAGTAGTTACTGATTTATCGAAAATTTCATATTTCTCTAAATTACCGCTACATTGCAAATGGGAATGGTTATTGTCCGATTAAAAAAAATATATGCTGACCAGGGCCAACATCTGTGGCAAGTTTGGGAGAAATCGGTGGAGCGGTAACCAAGGTATACCAATTTTTACTCGTGTGTATATGTATGTATCTAAAGAGATAATATTACTTTAAATAAAAGTTTTATTTCGCAGGCCGGAAATTGGGATGGTCAATTTAATTTATAAAGATAGGATATATGAATTAACCACAATTTATCGGTGTGTCAACTACTTTAGCATCAAAAAGCTCGACGATTGTTATCGGTTCGCCAAAAAGAAGTTATCGATATATTCGAGGATTTCTTATCCATGCGCAGAATAGTTTTCCGTAATATTTTTTGATTTATGCTGTTTAAAAATGAATCAGTTTGGGGAAAAAGAAGTCATACAAGCCATTCTTATTGCGGATAATAATGTGGAGCAGCTGCAACCATTTTCCGCCGAAAATTCAACGGTAAGAAAGAATTTTTGGTCACAAAAAAAAAACCGTTCCTATGGGCAGCCACGTATTAGCAGTATTTTGCATTCCAAATTTCAGGCGCTGTTGCCTTTGGTGAATGTGCCACTATTAGATTACGCTTTGGACGCTCTCAACCGCAGTGGCATTGAAGAAGTGTTCGTCTACTCAAGCCTGCAGTTGCAAAGTGTGCGGGAACATATCAAGTAAGGCGCACATTTTATAACGCGCGAGCAGCTATTTATCCCCGATTTTTCAGAAATGGTATTGCATCACTCAGTTCATGGTCAATAAACATGACAGTGCACGTGATTGGCGGAGAAGGATGTCGTTGCTTTGGTGATGCTATGCGCGATTTAGATGCGAAGGCTTTGATTCGTGGAAACTTCATTTTGCTCGGCGCGGATACGGTGACCAATGCAAATTTACGGCCAATATTTGAGCAACACAAGTAAATAAGCACAAACTTATAAAACAAATCAAACTGCTATACCATTAACATTCTCTTCAGAAAAACTGTTAAATATGACAAAGGCGCCGCCGCTACGTTGGTCTTTAAAGAGGCCGCCACATGCAACGTACGCACAGGCAACGAAATCATGATTGCTGTTGACCAGCAGAACAATCGGCTTCATCATCACCAAAGGTTGCGACTACATAGCAAGGAGTCACAATTTGAGGTGCCGCTGGAAGTATTCCTTTATAATTCTGAAATGGCGCTAATGCATAATTTAATTGATCCACAAATCGCTATCGGGTCACCATCTATGCTTTCTTTATTCAGCGACAATTTCGATTTCGAAACACGAGATGACTTCGTACGTGGTATTTTAATTAACGAGGAAATTCTCGACAGTCGTATATATGTTTCGTTGTTGCCGCGTGGACAGTATGCACGGAAGGTGAATAACTGGCTTACTTACTGCATGGTTAGCCAGGATGTAATGAACCGCTGGGCGTACCCACTTGTTCCCGACATGGGGTTAAATTGTCTTGCTCAGCAATATGTATATCTAAAAAATAATATATACAAGAGTCCTAAAGCAACGGTGATAAAAGCAACGTTGAGAGAAAATGTAGCCGTGCAAGCAGGCAGCCAGATAGAAGCAGGCACAACAGTGAGCTGCAGCGTTATTGGCAAAAACTGTAAAATCGGCAAAAATTGTGTGCTTTCAAATGTCTTTCTTTTGGATAGTGTGAACGTCGCCGATGACTGCAAGTTAGATTGCTGTGTAATAGGCTTTGGCTCAAAGATTGGCGCCGGAACTGTGCTCACTGAAGGTGCTGTAGTGGGCGAAAAATGCGTTATACCTTCAGGAAAAACTCTAAAAAATGTAATTGTAAAAAATGCTGTGGACGATTACGGTAAGTTAGCTCTTTCCTTAGACACGAGTGGCGACACATTTTCTTGTATTACAATAGATGAATTGGTGGAGAAGCTGGGAGAGAAAGCTTTCATAATAGAAGATAAACACGATACACAACCTACATATGCATCCGATTCAGAAGATGATGCGCTGCCGGCTGCAGCTACAGGCATACCAAAAGTTTCTAAAGTGCCAACTACCTGCGACGAGAGCGACTACACATCGAGCAGCGATGATGATGAGTCCCGTTCAGTAACACCACTCGTCGATGATACAAATAGTAAACGTTTACGTTTTATTAAATTTCTACTAACACTAATACTACCTCTTGCTATTGCTATTGCTACCCACCTTACTTTGCTGCAGTATTTTTGGCGGAAGTGATGGATTCACTGGCTCGAGGTTTCCAAGAGAAATCCAACCCAGACTTCCTTATCCTGGAAATCAATTCATCGCGGTACGCGTATAATATGTCACTCAAGGAAGTGAATTTCTACGTGGTGAAAGCGATATTCAGTCTTCAAGATATCAAAGAGCCTGCAAATCAAAATGTTCTTGTTGCCATCAACAATGTTCTGAAGCAATTGGGACCAGTCATGTCGAATTATATAAAAACCGAAGACGCCATGTTAGAGTGCCTAAAGGCATTAGAAGTATGCCATAATTCTATTTAAAGATGCAATTTTAATTATTTCTTTCGCTTAGGACATTTATGAGGAGAACGAATATGTTCGCAGCAAGATATCCAAAGTTGTACACTACTTGTATGATAAGGATTTCGTAAGCGAAGAAGCTATCATTGCATGGTATGATCAACTCGATGCTGAAGACCACCACGCTTTACGTCAGAGTCTGAAAGAGCTCATCGAATGGCTCAATCAATCGAGCGAAGAAGAGGATGACCACGATGAGGAGGAAAGTGATTAGAAGAGTGATGAACTGCTAAGAAATTTTAAGTTTATGTTTTATTTTTTATAAATATAAAGAATTCAACACACAAAAGAATCGACAAACAAAACCAATAAACTAAATAAAAAAACTAGTAATTGTTAAAATATTGTTAATTATTAATTCATTAGTACTATTTTTGTAATGTTATACAGTTCCGTTCCGTACATCCATTTTCGTAGCGTAATATTTCTAAGTGTATTTTTCGGCTCCAGAAATTTATCTATCAGGTCCGCCGGCTGTTGAGATGGTTGAGTTTCCCATCATCACACTATTATTGGCGGCCAGCATGCGCACATGATGCAAATGAATCTGTACATTTTTCTGAAAGGTTTCTACATTTACGCCACACAAACTGGAGCGCACTTCTTCGATACAACCTTCGAGCACTTTCGAAACTTCAGCCGAATTGCCATCATTGCCCAAATGTGAAGCGACAAGCAGCACAGTTGCAAGGTTTTTAATGAGCCCTAGTACGGTCTTATTTTTTACGGTGCCCTGATTATTGCGCTGCACTGCATCTTCGGCGGCTTCGCGACACTTTTCGCGCAGATATGAAGGGGCGAGCATTGCTTGCACTTGCGGATCGCGTGTTAAATCGCCTGCGAACGCCTGCACATCATTAAGATAATCCTGCATGTCGCGATTCATTTTCTCCATCGAAATGACAATTGAGGCATAGCGCCTTTGGAATTCTTCGCTCAACTGTGGTACTGTCTCATTTGTATTTTGCGACTCATCTGAGGATGAATTTGAATTGTGTGCGGCTGCGAGTTGCTGTGAAGCTTTCAATTCCGCTTCGTTGTTCATTTCGCTGAGGCGTTGTAGTTTGGAACGTTTGGAGGCTAGAGCGCGTTTCAAGCGCACCAGAGTCTCCAGCAGTTTGACCGGGTAGCCGTTGATGTTATCGCGTCCTAGTACCGGGTCCTTGAATGGACTTTCGATTACCTCCTGTGCCAGCACTGGGTCACTCTTGTTCAAATTCATGTTGAGTGCAGATCGGACGTTGCGCATGTTGCGCAGTGGCGAAGAGCTGACCCCATTGAATATGCTCATCAAGTTAGGCCTACTGTCCCTTGTGATGCTCTGCAAAGGAAGCATTTCGTGGAAATTCTCCGAGACGATTTCGAAGTCGGGTATAGAGTGTGTACCTAGCCCGCTTCTGTCGAACGTAATGCGATATGTGGAGTTCATCGAATCGTAGGCGTCTACGGTGCCGCTGAAAATACCATCTTGTGGCACACGCAATCGTGCCGTCACCTTGGTGCCTATGGGCAGCGGAAGTGGTATCTTTTCCGGTAAATCACGAACGAAGTTTAAATCCTTAATGTCGCCCGACCTACGACTCTGTATGTAGCGTATCTTTTGGCGGCGGCTTTCAAGCTCACGCCTTTCCTCTTCGAAAAATGCTTGCGAACAACGCCGAGGTTTGCCCATCAATGCGCGAATTTTCCGCCACTCGGCTCGATTTAGCTGGCGCGTGCATAGATTAGGAAAAGATTCTGACAAGCATACTTGAAAATCGTTTTCACCCTCAAAGAGCGCTTTATCGAGAAACGAATAGAACCACTCAAATATTACCCAGCGATGAGCTTTGGGAAGTTTCAACAAATTGCGCAAACGTAAGCCGATGCTCTGACCGATCTTCTTATCAGCCGGTATAATGTGTGCCACTGTGCCGGAACTGCTGCTCGTGGCGATTGGTATGCCACTGTGGCGTGTGCTCGATTTGGGAGTGGTATTTGTTGATGAGCTGGCGCCACTTGTGTGACTGCTGCGTGTCGGAGTGGTTACCTCAGTGCTTTTTTTCTTCTCCTCTGAGCGCATGTAACGTGAGACGACGCCTGTGCGTTTCTTCAGAACCTTGGTGGGTGTTTTATGGGGCGAAACGCTTGCCTTGTGTGGCATTTTGCGTGGTGAGAGACTCATCCGGAGTGGCTTGTCATCGTTAATGATGTCGTCATCGAAGAAGAAGCGGTTTCGCTTGCGTATGCGGGCAGGCATACCGCGTGCGTTCAACATTTGTATGGGTTGCTGCGGTTGCGGCTTGGGCGGTGGTGCCGAGCCAACACGACGCAGGCCCAAAGTAGCCAAACTGAATGCCGGCGGTTCGATGTGTTCATCATCTGAGAAGGCGGGACTCGAAGGTTTGCGGGACTTCTTCGACAGCGTTTCCGATTCGTCCGACATTGTTGGGCAAAATTACGAGGATGCAATCTAAAAGTATGAAAAATTTGTTGAAGTTAGTCTATGTTCATATGTATGTGTGTATGTATGCATGTATATGGTTTTGAAGTGAAGTGGAAACTCTTGAGAGGCTCCCAGTATTGAGATAAACTTAGTTAAGTTAAGATTTTAAATATGTAAATATGTACAATAAAATCCGCTTAACTACCTCCCCTGGAAATGCTAACTTCGAAGGTACTTACGCGGGTTGTGTACGCTAAAAGTATAAATGGCAAGGATAATATATTTATTGGGGCAAGGAAACGGAGTGTAGGGTATTCAAGCTAGGGGATTTAATCAGATTTTACTGTAATAGGTATGTACTGAACTATACGGCAAAATAAACTTTTTCCGGAGTATTGGACCAAACCAATTGTTTTTTTTTTTGAGAGATTGACTCATAAGTAAAAAAGTGATTTCCCCGTTTTTCTAAGTTAAACTCTGAAATCAAGTATGGGCCTTCGAAGTTCGAAATTGGACCTTTGGTAAAAAATTATTTTAAATTATTGTATGTATGTAAACAACTAAAAAAGTGAAAATATAGACGTGGTCCGCCTTTTGCTCTTATTTAAACGGTATATAACTTTTTTGTGCAAACTTATATTACAGGTACTATGTATAAGGGGTCAAAGGTCAGATATTCGAAAAATTAAAATTATACTTATTTAAAAAAAAAAATTGAACTGCCGAATTGCCACTAGTCATTTAAATTACAAAAACATATGCCATTTAAAAATGCCATTAAAATTTCTGACACTCAATGCCCGAAATTGCTTGTACATTGCTGCGTCAAGAGTGGATTAGGAAATACGATTGAGAAAACTCTGGTTTGCAGCTTAAGTCTTTTGTTTTTAACTTTATTTCTATCGCTTTAAATAAATGAAAGGCAAAAACGTATACTCCCAGTAATTAGATTAGCAGACTTTTTTGACCCTCAGTATGTAAAGTTTTGATTTTGTTTGTTCAGTATTAATTATTATTATTTTTTTAATGAAGCATATTATACGTGAGAATCCGAGTTTAAACTGTTATAAAAATAAAAAAAAAATTATATCAACAAAGAGGCGTATATAAAATTGCATGGCATTGCCCAAAATTTTGAGCCGACTAGTGTATTAAAACCGAAAAATTTGGCAGCACTGGATCGTTTTCGAAAATTTTCGTCGTTTACTTATTTCTGCACGACAATAGGCAATGCCAATGTTGTCGATTCGAGCATTTTATTCTAATTTACGACGTACGCAATGGGGCTAATTATTAACTTATGCACTGCAGATCAATTATATTATTTTTAATTAATTTAAATATTTTTTTAAACTAATTTTTACGAAATGAAAATAACTAAGTTTTTTTTTCTAATAAATTGTTGTTATACTGATGGCTTCATAAGAAATTCATTCATCCATTAAATAGCCATATCAAACTATAACCAAAATTTGGAGTATAATAAATATTTAGTATTAACAATAATGCAGCATTATTTTTAAGATTCAGTAATTTTAAATTTTGTTCTGACTGCATAAACTCGTCGTAGAGTATCTGTACGAATCTTCATAACGAACGGATTCAGTGAAGGCTCTCTACGAATTTCGAATTTACGTTCGTAGCCATTCGGATTCTGTGATAGCCCCGTTTATTTTATCTAGGAGAAGACTAGCCATTTCCAATAGATTGGGATCGCTGAAATCGAATCTGAAGTCAGAATTGCTCTGTCACCATTCTAACTATGCAGTTTTATAGCCCATTCAATTTTAGTACAACAAAGTGCAAGTTTGAATTTTCTTAAAAATCGCGTTGATTTTTGGCAATTTTTTTCACTCAGGTTCTTCCGACAATTATTTTTTGTATGGAGAAAATGAGCAAAACCTTCCCACAAAAAAAATTGCCAAAAATCAACGCGATTTTTTAGAAAGTTCAAACTTGCATTTTTTATACTAAAATTGAATGGGCTATAAAATTTAAATGGCTAAAAAATCTGAATAGAAAGTTGCAAATTAGTATGCAAATTTATTGAATTTTTTGAGTTTTCCACAAAGTTTAGAGATTTTGTTTTTTTGGTGTAGGAGGAACTATGTATATTTTTATAAAAAATATTATAATTATTATATATATACATATTTTTATCGAAAATAAATTAGAATACCAAACTTTGCATATATTGCGGAAAAATTCTCTGTACCAATACTTTTGTCCGGCACTGTATACATACATAGCATTTCGCTTGCTTTATAATATGCCGTTAGACTTGCTCGAAAAATATTCATCTTTAAAAATTATATACCATTTCTACGAAAAGTAATTTTCCCATATAAAACGCATGGAAAACTTTGCGCGCTTTGAGCGACCTCTAAATATTTTGTGATTTCAAAATAAAAAAATTGGGGTATATTTTTTCGGTATAGAAGAATCCTAGAGGGTGGGAGCATACAAATTCCGACTTTACTTTTTCATCTGCATTTTTGGTATTTTTCTGACATTTATTTCAAAATTTACTACGAAAAAAATTTCAATTTGTGTAATTTGAAAAAAATTTATTGTATAAAATAAATGCGACAAAACGCAGTCCTTATCTATGTAGGTATAAAACTCCATATATGGAAATTCCTAATTTTTCCTTCCAAAGTCAATCTTTTTGTTTTGCTTCATTTAACCGGCTAATTAAAACTAAATTTAGATTACAACTATAAAAATAATGGAAACAAACACTGTCAATTCCGTTTCTTTCGGTATAATTAATTAATACTTTTATTGAGGGACATTTAAAAGTAAGCACAATACAATTTCGTTAAATTTGTTTAATTTAAGTTCATTAATACATAGTTTTTCTTCTTCTTTTTTTCGACGGTAATAAGTAATGCAATTTTTAAATACGAGGATACGAGGAGCCGATCGATTAGTTGTATACAATCGACAATAAAACTCCAAAAAACACTCGGAGAATCGGGTTTGAATTCATTAAAACATTTAATTTAAATTTATATAGATATAAAGGTATGTGTATGTATGTATGTACTTATGTATTTAGGTATGCGAGTATGCACTTGAATGCATACTTGCTTCAATTGCCTACATACAAATGTGGTTTTAAGATTTATTGTTTTTGTTTTCCTTGGATTATTCGTTTATTTTTAACCATGCTACCACATAGTTTTTCTTTTTTTTTTTTAAATATTTTTCGAAATCAACACAGAAATATGTTTTAAAAAGTAATTTTACAAAAGAGCAAAACAAATTTCATTACTATGTATTGTATGTTTGTAAATATAATATAACAGTTTAACAAATATTAATAACAGCATTTACATTTTATTGGATTTTTGGGTAATTTCTCTTTTTACTAGTATCGTATTTTTATTTTTATTTTTATTTTTATTTTTATTTGTTTTTCTTTTTTCATGTATATAGTTTAGATAATGTATCATAATCATAGTTTTTTTTTTGTTTATTAATTTTATCATCAAATATATTTCGCATTTGCACTTGTTGTAGTTTCGTAGTTTTATATGTGGTTTATGTTTTTTTTTATTTTTTTAATATTCCTCTATGTAGTACTGCAATGCAACCAACTTATATGTATGTTCGTATGTATATAGTGTGTAAGTGTGTGCATACAAAAGGTGCATTCCAAAACGTCAACGTCAGTCTCCTTTATTTCTAATCCTCTCACTAGATTGTAATGCCAAATGTGCGCAACTACGGTTAGACTTTTTCTTCTAGTGCGGCTTAGAAATAAAAGAGACTGACGTTGACGCTTTGGAATGCACCCATATACTATGTGAATATGTGCGTACCACCGTTAGCCCTTTATTTTTTAATACATTATTTATGTTTGGATGCTACATAATCTAGAAAATGCAACACAAACGCCATATCCCCCAGCGCGGACGAACAGCAGTCATAAGGGAGTTAGATGTAGATAAAACCTATTATGCAACATTTCCGAAAGACTGTGAAATTTTTACGCGCGATATCATAAAAAATCACTAGTAGCAGATTTTTTTATAATTTAAAATTTCTGCATGGTAAAAAAATCACCCATATGGTAATAATTTTACATACATACATATGTGTATATGTAAATTGAAAATAAAACAAGTAAAACATGTATGTATATACGAAAAATAAAAACTAAATCAACAAAGAACAACCAAATTTATTATTTATATTTAGATTTTGCTTGTTATTTAAATTCTAAACTTGATTTTAGTATATTTTGCTTATGGTATATTTTGATGCTTTTAGAATTTTTTTCTATTGGAAAATGCTACAAATTAATACACTTTATAAGCGTTTTCAGTTTTGCTTTCAGCAATTTGAGGAACCGTTAAGCGTATTAAGTCAAACTTGCCGTACACTTAAAGCGAATAAAATTGAATTTTTAGCTGGAGTTGGAGCAAAGTCATTACGTATGTTTTCAACTGAATGTTGGTACAGTTGTGTCAGCGCTGCAGTCATTCACGCATGCTAATTAACAACTGGCCTTTTAAATTTAGTACTAAAAAAAAAAAAATCAAATAGGCGGCTTGTTTGAGTTTTGCTGTTTTTTTCAACAAGTTTAAGATGCAAGACCAAACTGTGCATTTTCGTAAGGTTTTACTGTTTAACTTTCGCACTAGAAAGTAGCTTCATTTAAGATCGATTTTTTCACTGCACGGCCGTGGCTTAAACTCAGTTTAAACGCCCACTCTGGCTGGTTTAAACTAAAAGCCAATCAAATGTCAGTTTAAACTGGCACTGAAAAGCTGGCCCTAGAAAGAAATAGCAAGCTCGATAATTGGATGCCGCATGAACTCACAGTTCATTTACGGCTCACATAGACATTTGCGAAATACTGATGAAACGTGGATCGAAATTGTGATATTTAGAAAACTATGATAACTGTTGTCAGACTTTCACTTGTTCCATTCTCTGCATTAAAGTAACATTCAGGCGAGGAGAATAAAAATATATCACTAATTGATTTTTGTATAAATAAATAGCTAAGTAAGTAAAACATTCAAAAAATACGTAATGATGTTTTACTCCACCCAATAGAAATGCTGACTTTCCCTAAAAATATTCCACATCTTCTTCCTTCTTGTGCCATTGCACATCAAACTGTTCGCCCGCCTTACCCGCCATTAGCACGCACAATAGAAGCGCCTTAGTCGAAGTCCCTAATTGTTAACTGCCTTGATGCTTGTACAGCTTTCTCTGCAACGCTGCCGTCCTGATTGGCTTGTCTGTCTGTTGCACATCTGCCTACACATTGAAGCGTGTCTCCGAGCCATCGGCCAGCATAAGCGTCACCGTGCGATTATTAATCCATACCAGTTTGGCTAGCCGCATCGGATTGAGGCGCGACACATCGGGTATGGGCGCTGTTGAGTAGCCTTTGGTGCAACGCGTTTGAGAATTACCCAACCCAAACATACCCGTACTCGTCTGCCAGAACGATAGTCGATTTTCAGTGCATGAATAGGATACGAGAAATTTGCCGTCGGGCGAGAAGGCCAGCGACGTTATAGGATGTGTGTGCGCCGGTATCATTTGGCACTTGTTCTGGCGCAGCTCGTAGATGGCTAGGTGGCCGTTGTGTGCGCCAACGGCAATGCGTCGGCTTTGCGCGCAGTGCGATATCTGATTGAATTTGCATATCGAGGGACACACCTCGGCAAGGCCGCGTAACTTCAATTCATTATTGTCCACGCAGTGCAGCGTTATGTCCATAACCTCTACAAGAAGACTCGCGATCTCCGCTTGCATTTTGTCAATCAACATTTCAACGCACAGCAAAATTTCCGCCTTGGCCTTGAAAAGTACGGACTGTGTGAGCGGTTGATTGATGGACTGCGCATTCTGTTGCATAGTATTGTAGCGTGCCACTTCACGTGCCATAGTCGTAATGAAGGCGGCTGGTCGTGCTGTGGCGATGAGCCGGAGCGCATGTCGCGCCGTGCGACATGCATCCGCTTGTGGTGTTAGTGGTAGTTTGTAGTTTAGATTGGGCACTGCTTTCCCAGCGCATGCGATCTCTAACAAACCGAGGAGGACTTTGCTGACGTCAAGGTACGGCTCCCAAACGGTGAAGCCGCGGCCTAGAAGATCGATTGCGGCGCGTCGCAGCGGCGTATACTTTGGTAGTTTCTGTGAGGGAGGCGCGTAAAGCAGATGTGCCAAAGCCATAGAAGTTAATCGCGCCAAGTTGTTGGCTATGCCGAAACCTTCTGCCACAGATGATTTTCGCCGATCAGCACTTGCGCGTTGTGGGGAATCCTGCGAAATATCCTGCCCGAACTCAGCACCTATAACACCCAACAATATCACTGCCGTGGTCTGTTTGCGCTTCAATTCAGACAAACTGGACGGCTTACGGATGATTTCTTCTTCCTCCTCCTCGTAGTCCTCGTCCTGATTGTCCACAGCACTGCTGTGACCGTTGGTGCCGTTTCCGCTATTGCCTTGTGCCGCCGCCAGCACCTGTGGCTGAACGATTGGTTCGGTGTGCGTATAGAGAGGCAAATACTGTGCCCAACTGTCCACTAGCTGTTTGCGTCCCTTCTTGCCCATGCGCGTCAATTCGCCAAGTAATATCTGTTGAGCAGCCTCCCGTATCTCGATGCAATGATGCTGCCAGCGCTTAGCCATTGCCTCCACCTGCGGACGTTTGAATTTACGTGGCTCTAATGCCTCGATTTTGTCGGGCAAAAGGAAGCAATGGTGTGTGGATAGCAAACTCCAGCCCTGTTTAATCTGCGATGTATGGTGTGCTATTAGCTCTTCGCGCTCCTCTTCGTTACTTAACGTCGAGTCGGTGCGTTGAGCCAGACGCTGCAGTTTCTTACTCTTTTCGCTGTCTGGAAGGAACGATGCAGCGCTCATCGACATCAATGTGTTGGACATAGCTACAAGCGCCAGTATGTGATTCGATGTCAACGTCGTGCTCAGTTCCCAGTGCAACCGTGATGTGAATACAGCCGTTAATTGTTCTTGACGCAGCAATTCGGGCGCGATGTCGCGCTTTTTGGAGCTACTGGGTGTGGGTGGTATATTGTCCGGTATCTTGTAATTGTTCTGCCATGTGGGCAGCAGCAGAGACATGTAGCCAGCTTTGGAGAGCACGCCGAATGAGACAGGCACGATGGGACGCAACAAGCCCAATTGTGACTCACACACCTTGTCTAAATGTGGGTCCAGGCCCCAGGAGTGTAAGAGTGAGAGCAGCAGCTGTGCAACCTCCATAACGTGTGTCACTTCCATTTTTGAAGCTATTTTGCTGCGCAAATCGTCGGGTTGCTCCTGTGTCTCCACCACTTTCTGAAAGCTTTCGACTTTTGCTTGCACTTTCTTTTCCATTTGTTCCGTCTTCTCTTTGAATTTCTGCACTAAGCCGTGTTTGTCTTTATCTTTCAATATTTTTTCCATGTCGCCTGCCTTGTTCTTCACCTTGCCAAAGAAATCGCTAATTTTTTTTGATGCATCCAGATGTACAGCCTTATCCTTTGGATTATTCAGCACCACGCCGAGCACCTCCAATGCAGCCGGTGTCATTTGCGCATACTCCTCACTATGCAGTTCGAAAATAAGTCCTTCAATGTCGAAGAATAGTATATGACTTTCTGCGTCTTTTGGATTAGTGCGTAGACCTTGAATCACGAGCGGATTGCTGCGATGTTTCATTAAGAAATCAAAGTTGCCTTGATTGTGACCTTGCAGCTGTTGCAGTTGATGTATGCCGCGTTGGGTGGCATGACGTATGGCGTTCATGTTTCGTGACTTGATGCCGCGGAAGAAGTGTACCGCCGGGTTAGCCATACCCATTTCCGATGTAGCCGCTGCGGCGCCGCCGTGTCCACCGTTACCATCTTCGGCGGATTGCTCATCGCATGCCAAAAGAACTTCTTCCGCCAGCATGCCGTGTAAAACACGATCTAGATGACCTGTCTCCATTTGCCAAACGTACACGGAGCCATCTGAACAGCCTACAATGAGAAAATCGTCGAGGGGACGCCATTTAATGGTTATTACCGGAAAAAGATGACGACTTGCAAGCGTCACACATTTCCGTTCCTGTAAACTCAACAAAGTTACTGAGTGGTCAGACGCCACCGAGCAGATGCATTTCAGAATGCGATTACTGCAAGTCTCTGGCGGCACCAGCAGCTGTGTTATTTCACCGGCATGTACACAAAATCGATGTAACATTGTTCCGCTGTACAAGTCCCACAAGCAAACGGCGAAATCTACGCCACCCGACAGTAAATGCGACTTCTCGTAGCGCGGATGTACCAGCGATGGGCAAAGCAAACAATTGACGCGGCCGCGGTGGCCGTAAAGTATTTGATGGGATGGCCAATCACTGAAATTCTGTTTAATACCTACCAGCAATTGCATCATAACCGTTTGCGTTGCGGGCACTATAACTATAGTACCATCTTCGCGACCAATCACCAACCGACTCTGTTGCGGTAAGTAAATACTTGAAGTGAGCTTGACAGGCGTGTCCGTAATACGTGACAACTGATCGAGAATACCGACTGGCGGTGGATCCATAATAGACCAGGCCTCCACCAATGATGTACAGACTGTGGGCTTCAGCACCCTCGGTGGCATTTGTTTTGCTTGCAAAATGCTGATGTTATCCAGTGGTACATCCGGTACCGTCCATACTGAAATATAGCCTTCAGAATCACCACGCAGCAAATAGTGCTGGGGACTTTTGCCTTCTTCGCGCTGATAACGCAGCAGTTTCATGGCGGGAGGGCATGAAAGTACCTTGTCGCCAGGCTGCTGTAGCACGTAATACAAATAGGGTGCGTCGCGCACCACTGATTTGGCATGGAACTCTTTGTTGTCGGGTATACAATTGGCGGGCAACTTGTAGATATAGCCCTTGCCCTCGTCCGTCCAAAGCATGACACGATCGGAACTTATAAAATCACCACCTTGCCAGCGTTCCCGCGTAGGCGCAATCACTGAGCACAGCACTGTAAAATCACCAGCATCGTAGATCTGCCAGTATTTGGTGCATACAATTAGAACGGTGCGTTGATTTTGAGCACAGCAATTCATGGTAATGGCGTTCAAGCAGCGAATTTCCTTAGATTCATTTTCGTAGAGCGGTTCAGCATGCTTATTTTCATTGCCGATTAGGGTCCAAACTTTTACTGTGCCTGTAGTTGTAATTGCCAAAACAACGTCGTCTTTACGTTTCATGGGTCGTAGCACATGTAGTGCAGAAATCCAATCGGGCTTTACTTTTGAACTTAGCTGGTAAATGATTTCCAAACTGAATGGATCCATTACGATTATCTCGGGGTAATAGCCAATGCAAAATAGACGAACATCTTCGCTGTTTGCTGGATGGTAGCTTTGAATATGTGTGTGCACCTGTGCCAGTTTAACCGATTCCATGCATTTTCCATCGATTAGATCCCATGTGCACATTTCACCATTCTCCGATGAGCTCACGAGGAAATTATTTTCGGGCAGTACAGAGGCACGCACTAGGCACAATACTGGCGCCGAATGTCCAACAAGCAGACAACGGGGTGACATTTTCATGGTGGCTGGGTCAACTTGCCACAAACAGATTTGGCCATCATAGCAGCCGGTGACGAGAGTTGATTGATCATCCGACAGAAACACGCTGGACACACAGTGCGTGGGCGCCGATGGGCCCCACAACACCACTGGAACCACCAAATTAGTGCTGACCATGTTGAAATACCGAAATCGCTGTGGAAAAAATCGTTTTGGTGAGAATGGAAAGGGGAAATCATTTTGGATAGCGTTCTGGCCTCTACGCTGAGAAATGCTTGGCAATGAAGTGTACTTATTTTTGTTTGTTGCCCAGCATTGACTTGCTGGTCAATGAAGCGAACAAAACCCTTAAATTTTTCGGTTTGTTTTCAATTAGATTCCACTCGATTTTAAGTGAATTTTTCAAATCAGATAATTTCACGAATTAAGTGTTTGTTTTAAAATACTTCTTCGAGAAAGATATTCGTTAAATTATATCAAAAGCTTCTATCTACATTTAATAAATGAGTATATTATATTAAATAAAATTTCTTACTTTACTGTCGGTCTTGCTATTAAGTGAATTTTAGAGCTAAAATTAATTATGACAATTACATAGTTCAGAGATAAACATAAATCATGGGTTCAAATACTAATTTCTTTTTTATTGCAGATAGAGGGCTACTTTATAAAACCTGTAGTTAAACGTTAACTATTAAATACAAATCAAAACATTGAGTTGAAAAACAAAAAAAAAAAAAAAATAGCGAACGCACTCTGGAGTATTTAAGAATGAGAAGCCTTTGCTTGCTTTGTTATTAATATGACTTTTACACTGTTATTATTTTCTTCACATTCACACTCCAGGGCATCGAAATCCGAGCAAAAATTTTGCTTACTCGTGATGCATTTATTTGTTCGCTGTCACCAGCTAAACCAACACACTCCATAGCTCAACACATTTACCATCGTCTTACCATTGCTACCACTTGCTTTTTCTTTATTTATCATTGGTAGGTGCTATTAAGTCTCCATCACGACAACGAACACATTTCGGCTGGGATTCGAAGAATGCTGATAAGTGATTACTAAAAGTTTACCACAGAATACTGTCGCAATTGATAACACAATCATGATAAAAGTTGTAAACCTACAGTATGTGGCGAAATGAGGTTCCACTTTCGGATGGGTATTGAATTAAAAATTTATAAGATTTCCGTATAATTAAGCGTTTTTGAAATGGTTTCTGGGCCTCGGAAATCTATGTTTTATTATACGATGAATTACTTAAATCTTTTCATTTTGATACGGTTATATTCAGTATTTAATCGGCAAAGAATCGGTTAGCTAAATAATATAACCTCATTCAAGAATCGGCCAAAAACGGCCGATGCTGACTCTTTTGGCCTATACTAGCCCCGGCATCGGTCGTTAATCGGTCGGACTCTACTTTGTTTATTGTTTGCTTGTAACGACTTAATTTGGTCACACACTGTATGTATATATGGATGTACATAACGTTAATATAAAATAATGTGGGGAAACCTTTGTAAAAGATTGGAAACGAATATCTAAGCACAAATTATAAAAAAAAAAATTAAATTGGTCTAATTAGCAAACTTGCGAAGCCATGTGAATATGCTATGAATTATTTATAAACATTTCAACTGATTAGATAGTGGATGTTTAATTTGCAGCTCATGATTTATGCGCTAACTAAACAAAATTCGAAATATGTATGTACATAGGTAGATACTGTAGATTCAAGAAGCGCTGTTCATGATGAAGTGGACAAGTATGCTCCGAAGGTGACATAAAAAGGATTTGGAGCCATTTCCCAAACTTCGGAAAGTTTATTTATTATGTATTATAAGTAAGCACAAAAACGCTTGAATTTCGTTACTGCAGTTAAATAATGGAACTTTTCCGTTAAGCATTTTCTGCTGGATGTTTTCATATAGGTTGGGGGTTTATTACACTATATTGCGTTATTATGCACATCATGGCATTTTAAAGCAGATCCTACTTCGAAATATAAACATATTTTTATTATTTGGCAGATGGCAGTCATGGACTGAAAAAATACCAACGCCATCCAATGATGGACGATACTATAAGTATATGTACATATGTACGTACTTAGTTATAGAATTTAAATTTCCTTGCGCACATTTCTATTTATAAGTAATCAAAAAATGGTGGTTAATTCACCAAACCAATTGAAAATTAGGAACCTTTTTGACGAGCATATCAATAATCTCGTAACAGCTTTGAACTAGCTTGAAACAGATGTGAAAGCACGAGTTTAGTTAATTGAACGTTCAGTGGGATATTGTATACGCGACAGCATTTGGTACATTCTTACAGCTCCGCTTGCTCCCAGATGCTTATTTCATTGTACGTTAGTTTGCTTACTATGTGTACACTATGTTCACATAGGAATACATTTGTGTGACGAAATGTGTTCGGTCGTAATGGTTGCACACTCCCAAAGCAAATTAATTTCTTGTGCTAACATCGCAATTGTCCGCTTCTGCTCTGCCTCCTTCCGTCGCCTCCGCGGCTGTGCGTGTCCCACAACGACTCTTGCCCTCTTCCTTGTGCTCCCTCGTCGCTCCTCCTCGTCTAGACACACAAACAGCAGCGCAGCGACAGCGCCAGTTGCAGCAGTTATGGAACTTCAATGTCGCGCAGTATGCTCCGCTCCTCCTCCTCCGCCTTCAGCGTTTCCTTGCTTTCTTGCACTCCTCAACTCGCTTTAATAGTTAGTCTATGCATTTACGTATTTTATCACCTCGTCACCACGTAATTAAACTAAATATTTTTGCTAATTCCAACGAAAAATTCCTTTTCTATCACTTTTTGTCTCTTGACTCCGAAAAGAAATGAAAATATCGACCGAGCAGAAAAATTATCGATTGACTTGCGTGTAAAATGTCGAAAACTGTCAGCGAACAATAAGCAAAGCACACTGAATTACGTCATTACGTTTGCGTTGTTCGAGTGGGCTTTGTTTCATAGTCAGTAACGTAAGGTTAATTCTGACAACCCACATCTTAGGTCTATTTCACATATCTCACAAAATATTTTACATTTTAAGTGCAGCTCCTGAGGATTTCAACTGCCTATGCCAGAATTCTATAAATAAAAAAAAAATTATTTTTTTTACTTAATTTGAGCCACTGAATAGGAACGTGATCTCCTTTAATTTCCCCCCTCCCCCCCAAAAAAAGCGTATCTCAGAAAAAAACATAGGGAACACGTTTTTTGATCGAGCGAGTTTATTACAGTTAAATTAGGGCCGAACAATGGAATTTGACGATTTTTTTCCACCACACAACCACAACATATTATTTTTTCATATACTACAACAAGAAAGTTATCACACATCAAAAACTTTAACGCTAGTATCTCAGAAAGCAGTTTTAATAGAAGTGCCTCTATTGCAACTACCTCCTCAATTATTGGAGATAAAACAAAAACAAATTGATTTTCTTCCGTATTTTTTTCTTTAAGAGTTGAATATTTTTTATACAAATTTTTAATAAAACCCAAACACCCTTTTTTTGCTAATTTTTACATTCATAAGTTATTTTGTGTTAAAATTACGTTAGTATTCATAAGTGGTGGTCAAATCCAAGGAAGGTTTTGCTCCGTCGCATCGCAATGGTTTCTACAAAGGATTAAAGTTCCCTATTTTTCGTAAAAATTAGTATCATTTTTCATTACATTCGGTTATCCTTAGAAAAATTTGGTACTTAATATTTTAGCGGAAATTTTAACCATCTATAAGCAATTTTTTAAACAGTGGGTCAAAAAGGCCCGCTCTGGTGGCAGTTGATGGGTAAAACTGTTGGAAAAACTATAGACTCCCCTTTTTTCTATCAGCAACCCGCAAAAAATCATAAGAACTCCATAATTTAACATAATGGTAGATTAGATTATTACACAAACTTATTAATAGCGTCATAAATTACTCCAATATCTTAACTTTTTAACTATTTAAATTTTTTAATTTCTTTAAATTTAAATAGTGCATTGGGATCTGTAAAGAGTATACATAACCATATATGTATGTATGTATTTATGTATATACCTCAGACCTTTTTCTGTTCACCCATACATCAGCGCCAGGCACTCAACATTTTAACTCAAGTAGGAAGTAACAATATTAAAATTTAAAACTAATTAAATAGAATTATAATCGGAATTGGCATGGCGAATGCCTAACGCCGACGAGATGACATAATAAAATTAGTTGTCTCGTGGCTCTTTGGAAACTAGTTGCCGCCGCCGCTTCTATATTGAAGTTGACCACGCCGACACCGCAAAGCCTGTCGACGTAAACCACTAATCGTTACCTTAATATAGGAAGGCCCTATCTCACATCATCGCTGCAATACAAAACACTGAAATTAACTATAAATCTAAAATTCACTATTTGATTGATTATGAAGCATTTCATCGCCCGCACATAGTTTTATGAAACAAAAAAATTAGTTAGTTACGGCTTTTCTGCATTTCAGCGACGATGTGAGGTAGAGCCTTTCTATATTAAGGAAAGGATATGTATGTGTTTCTCTCCAAATGATTTCCATGTGTATCAAGTTTTAATTGTAAAAACCCAGTTTACCACAGTAGTTATTACTCCACAGCGCAAAAAGGAACCTTAGAGAAATGTGCTTCTACACTTTGGAAATAGACTACTAAAATATGGCTATTACTTGCACCACCATTTACCATAGCGGCTACAACCCCGCCCAGATCGGTTAGTACCTCAATCATTGTCGTCAAGCTCTACTGACGGAATACCCAGGAAGCGTGCAGCCCCGATGGGGTCTGTCCATAAGAGCAGAGGCATTAGCAGGGTGGGGTTCAGTGGGCATGCCCAGAGAGAATTCGTTTGGCACATCTGCATTTATTCTGCTAAGGTACGAGTTTAACCTGCTGCAGTAGCCATATCCATCCATCCTGGAATTTCCTTTTACTTAAAAGTATTATTCAAAACAACAGTGGAACTTTTTTTGTTGATGAATATTTAAGTAAGTACCCGTTTTTTGTTCCTACTCAGGTTTATTTACCAAACCCAGAGAAAGAATAGAGCCAAATACTTTTCTAAAAGAAGCATTCACAACGCTTTAGTAGCACACCTTCGCGTTGCTTGCTTCGAGCAGGTCATGTAATACGTTTCAAAGGTATGTACATATTAATGATTACAGTACAAGGCGCACACGTTGTACGACCAAGCGAAAACCTGGGTTTTTAACGTCCACTAAGATATAATACCATTAAGGAAAACGAACGCCAATGGCCGGAATCCATTCCAACTGTTGGATATGTGTTTGGAAGGGAACAATTCTATGCTATGGTGACACAAAAAAATGTTTGTAGTGTTAATTCGAAAATCCAAACGCTACCGCACGCTTATTTCAAAAGGCTCAAATAAAGATATCAGTATGTGTATAAATACGGCAAATTAGGCACTTACTTCTATGCTGCAAATGGAACGGCTTTTTTGTAGTTTAAATTGTGATTTTACACAAGTATTTTTGTTAAAAATTCACTAATTTTACTAAAATTCAGAGTTTGAAAAACAATTCGCCATCTTTGACATTTCTATTTCATAGGGTATGTTCAGTGTTCGCACACAGAGTTGCATTTGGTAACAACGGCTCCGAAACGATTTTAAAAAAATTTTGTAAGGGGTTTTTTGGTTGGGTTTAATTTTTCCAAACCCAAATGGGTTCATTATTTGAAATATTATCTGTAAATCAAAATTTAAAAATTATAATGGTGCCAAAGTTTTCGTAATTTTTTACCAAACCTTTCGTGCAGTGAACATACCGAGTGGGTTCATCAGCTGTTGGTTTGTTTACATCCTAATCATAGCCGTTTTTGCGGTGTGGCAGTTTCATTTATCTGCAAAACTACTACTAATTAGATTATTCTGCAATTTATTACAACTTTATAAGATGCATAAGGATGTTTGGTATTGTAATATCAGGGTGATATTTATAAATTTTCTAGTAATTCAAGGGGTATACAAAACGCAAGGTGTAAGGTTTTACTCAAAGGATCGTGTGCTTGAGCTGAGGTTCCATACCACTTTTCCTTTTTGCTTTCAAAATTGAAATAACACTATACTTTGCAGAGAAAAAGTACGAGCAATGTTCCAGCATGCTTATGAGGGTTACTTGGAGCACGCTGCCGGCTATGACGAGCTGCGACCCTTGACGTGTGATGGCGTTGACACCTGGGGTAGCTATTCCCTGACACTAATTGACGCGTTAGATACCCTGGCGACTATGGGTAACTATACCGAGTTTCGAAGAGTAGTAAAACTACTGGAAACCATGGACTTCGAGAAAGACATAAACGTTTCCGTTTTCGAAACAAACATACGAATTGTGGGCGGTTTGCTTTCAGCGCATATGCTGGCAAAACGAGCCGGTGTGACATTGGAGCCAGGGTGGCCATGCCAAGGATCGTTACTACGATTAGCGGAGGACGTGGCAAGACGTTTATTACCAGCATTTGATACAGCTACTGGAATGCCCTACGGTACAGTCAATTTGCGATACGGTGTACCCAAAGGCGAAACATCAGTGACGTGTACGGCTGGCGTGGGGACATTTCTAGTTGAGTTTGGTGCGCTCAGTCGACTCACCGGTAACCCTATTTATGAAGATGTTGCTCTCAATGCAGTCTTCTCTTTGTGGGAGCGCCGCTCGGCAATTGGCCTTTTTGGCAACCACATTGATGTACAAACAGGACGCTGGACTGCATTTGACTCTGGTATTGGAGCAGGTGTTGATTCATTTTTTGAATATCTGGTAAAGGGTTCAATTATGCTCAACCGGCCAGAATTGATGGAGATGTTTCATGAGGCTCGTAAAAATATTGACAAATATCTGAAAAAAGATGACTGGTACGTGTGGGCCAACATGAATAAAGGTCAGGTGACATTGCCAGTTTTTCAATCCCTGGAAGCTTTTTGGCCCGGCGTGCTAAGCATGTTTGGCGACATAGGACCGGCAATGCGCACTTTGATAAAGTACAGTACAGTTTGGCGAAAATATGGCTTTCTGCCTGAATTTTTCAACATACCGCTAGGAGAAGCCTCCGCAAATAGAGAAGTATATCCCTTACGTCCTGAACTGATCGAGTCGGTGATGTATCTATATCGAGCAACGCAAAATCAATTTCTGTTGGAGTTGGGTGAAGACATATTGCAAACAATTGAATTTAGTGCTAAGACACGATGTGGATATGCAACGGTAAATGATTTACATACATATTTCTATAACCAAATTGTGTACTTATGCTATTCTGAAACATTCAAATCTTTCCACAGATACGCAATGTAGTTACCCATGAGAAAGAGAACCGAATGGAATCATTCTTCCTCGCAGAAACGACTAAATACCTTTACCTCCTTTTCGATGAGGAGAATTTTCTACACAACGACGGTGCCATAGGAGATCGTTTGGAAACTCCATATGGCGAGTGTGCCGTAAACGCAGGTTCCTATATATTTAACACCGAAGCGCATCCAGTTGACATGTCTGCGCTATATTGCTGTCACGACATAAAGGAAGATATTATTGACGGTCTCGACTTGGATATATTTAAGGACGAAGCTTTGCTCAGATCCGATCGTGAAAAATTGATCCTTGAGCGAGAAATGCGTGAAGAATATTTGTGCCAAGAGCACTCTTCTAATAATAAACAGAATCTAAAACCAATAAAGAACACATCCAACGAAAAAAATCCAATAAAGGCCGAATCCACCGCACCAGTTGACATTGATGTATTTGATGAGTATGACAATCCCGCAGGCGATTTGCTGGTGGAGAATTTTGAACGCATCAAGAATGAACAAAAGTCAAGTCTCCCTTCCGTCGGTACCGCGGAAGTTGTTGAAGAGCAAAGCGTATCATCTAATCA